GCTGCTTTATTTGTTTATCTAGATATTGAAAGACGAATTTGATTAATTTAAAAGTAATTCAAAACAAATGGAAATTAAAAATGTTAATCTGCTGCTTTGCTGCTCGCCTGTGGACAGACACCCGACGGGCCATGCGATGGCGCGACGGCGGCAGCTGAGAAACAATAAAAAGAAATAAATTAAATTAAATTAATTAAATCAAATTAATTAAATCAAATTAATTAAATCAAATTAATTAAATTAAATTAATTAAATTAAAACAAATAAATATCATTTGAATAAATACAGAGACATGAGGAAGGCCTGTGTGAATGGACCGCTGCAGCAGCAGCAGCAGCAGCAGCCGCAGCGGAGCCATGTTCAGAAGCAGATGTCTTAGGCACGGCAGCAGCAACACAATCCATAGAAACATCAGCAGCAGATGCAGCAGCAGCAGCAGCAGCAGAAAGAAGCGAGCGGTACACTAACAGCAGCAACAGCAGCAAAAAATACACCAGCAGCAGCAACGGCGAAAGAAGCAGCAGCAGCAGAAGCAGCAACAAAAAGAGCTGCTGCAGCAGCAAACCCTTTGCCTCACATGTTTTGCTCTCGCTGCCATGCGCAGCAGCAGCAGCAGCAGCAGCAGCAGGCTGCACGCCCATGGAATTCATAAGGCTTGAGCTGCTGTCAACAAAGAAAGTGCTGCTGTTAGCTGTTGCATAGGCGGGGACTCCTGGCTCAGCAGCAGCAGCAGCAGCAGCAGCAACAGGAAAGGACTTCTGAGGAGCAGCAACAAAGCCGTAGCCGTACATGTCGTCTACCTCTTCTTCGTAGAGTTGCTGCTGCTGCTGCAGCTGCTGCTGCTGCAGCTGATGCTGCTGCAGCTGCATCTGGTGCTCCAGCTGCTGCTGCTGCAGCTGAGCCTCGAGTTGTTGTTGCTGGATGTGCTGCTGCTGGAGCTGCTGCTGGAGCTGCTGCTGCTGCTGCATGTGATGCTGCAGCTGCTGCTGCTCCTGCTGCTGCAGCAGCAGCTGCTGCTGCTGCTGCTGCGCTATCAAGTCTGCCAGCTGAGAGCCCCTCTGCATTTCAAGCAGCTGCGCCTCCGCGCCCGCCTGGCTGTAGTACTCCCCGTAGCTCTTGTCCATGGGAGCTGCTGCAGCAGCAGCAGCAGCAGCAACAGCAGCAGCAACAGCAGCAGCAACAGCAGCAGCAACAGCAGCAGCAGCAGCTCCCGAGGCCATGTGCATGGGCAGCAGCCTCCGCAGAAGCAAACAGACAACAGCTGACGGCCCCAAGTGGTGGTTAGGGTCTAGGGTTTAGGGTTTAGGGTTTACCGCTGCCGGGGTAGGCGGGCAGGGAGCCTGGTATCTGATCGTAGGGGGCAAAGCCCCTCTGGGAGTTGTGCATGTTCAGGGTTTAGGGTTTAGGGTTTAGGGTTTCGGGTTTGCGGGCGGTCGGTCCAGCGGCGGTCGGCAGATGTCGGCTTGTCTGGGGGAATGTGCGGCGTCTGGTGCGATATTCTTCAAACTAAATGGAAAAAGAGAAAAAAAGAGAAAATAAAAACGAAGAAAGACAAGAAATAAAGAATTAAAAGAGAAAAAGTCGGAAGTTGGCGGCGGCGTGGCGGCGGAGCCGGTGGACCTGAGGTGTACATACACCTCAAGTTGCGCGCGAGCTACCCAAGACAAAAGCGCTACAGATTCTTTTACTTATAAACTTGTTGAATTGTTTTCAGTCAATTAAATTTATTTTGACAAAAAACAAACAGAACACCGCAGCAATAGACACCGGGGCCTTCAGCAGCAGCAGCAGAGAGCGCCGCCGCTGCAGATCTGGGGTGTACGGACACCTCAGCTTCCCGGCTCGACTGCCGACTCCTTTTTTAATCCGTTTTCAAGTTCATATAAATTAAAATACTGAATTTAAAACACATTTTAATTACAAATACTCGAACTTGACGGGCAGGGGGCCCCTGAGCTGCCTCGCCGCGCCAGCAACCACAGCCCCACCCTCAGCAGCTTCTTACCTATTACTCCCAAAGGCTTTCATTAATTTAAGCAGCGAAAGGCTAATTAAATGTGTAATAGAAATAGACCCTAATACTCGAGGGGGGCCCCAGGGGGGCCCCCCAGAAGCTGAGCCTTGCAGGGGCTGCTGTAACAGCTGGGGCTTGCTGCTGCTGCTGCTGCTGCTCCTGCAGCAACAGCAGCAACCGCTGCAACAGAGCCGCTGCAGCTGCTTTCTTATTTTTAATTTAAGGGAGCCTCACTGGACGTGAAAGAGACTCTCCCTGATCCTGAGCTGTACGTACACCGCGCGCTGCTGCTGCTGCATGCTCTCCCTTCCCACTCGGTCTGCAGCAGCAGCAGCTGCAGCAGCAGCAGCTGCAGCAGCAGCTCGCCCGTGTCTTTAGCCTCTCCTTCTTAGGCAAAGGCCGGCATGCAGACCGCGCCCGGGTGCGGGGGGAGGACCGCTGGCAGCAGCAGCAGCAGCAGCAGCGACAGCAGCAGCAGCAGCAGCACAGCTAGCTGAATTGCGGGAGCGGCAGCATCTCAGCAAGAGCGCATCAGGTGGCAGCCGCAGCAGCACCAACACCTACTGCAGCAGTGGCAGCAGCAGCGGCAGCAACAGCGCCAACGGCAGCAGCAGCAGCAGCAGCAACAGCAACAGCAGCAGCAACAGCAGCAGCAGCAGCAGAAGGCGTCATGTATTCGCCTTCGCAGTTAGATGGGGTGCCTAAGGAGGATCAAGTCCCCCCCTGGAGACGCGGGGAGAACAGCAGCAGCAGCAGCAGCAGCAGCAGCAACAGTTGGAGCTCTAAGGAGCAGGGAAAGCGAACAGACAATGACAGCAGCAGCAGGGGCATTTCTGCTGCAGCAGCGCAGCCTGCTGCTGCAGGTGCTGCAGGAACTGCTTCAGCAGCCCCGCGGCGACGCCGCTTTGATGTGGGGCCCCCTGGCAGCAGCGGAGCAGCAGCAGCAGCTGCACCCCCACCCCCAGCAGCAGCAGCAGCAGCAGCAGGAGTAAGCGGGAGTGCTGCTGCTGCTGCGCCGCGGCAGCAGCAGGAAGAGCGGCTGCAGCCGCAGCAGCTGCATGCGCCGCCGCCGCCGCCGCCGCCGCCGCCGCCGCCGCCGCCACCGCAGCAGCAGCAGCAGCAGCAGCAGCAGCAGAGGCAGCGGGACAGAGAAAGAAGCAGAGAAGAGTACCGGCGGAGAGAAAAGTACAAAATGGAAGAAAAGATAAAAGGAAAAGAAAAATATAAATCTGGAAAGTTCAAAGAAGAGAAGTTTAAAGAAAGAGAGAACTTCCGAGAAAGAGACAGCAGCAGGAGACACAAACGCAGCAGCAGCAGCAGCAGCAGCTCACCCCGCAGGCGCCGCGGCTCCTACGACCAGCAGCAGCAGCAGCAGCGCCAGCAGCAGCAGCAGCGCCAGCTCGAGCAGCAGCTGCAGCTCGAGCAGCAGCTGCAGCGCGAACGCATGCAGAGGCAGCAGCAGCAGCAGCAGCACGAGCGCGAGCGCGAGCGCGAGCGCCTTCGGCAGCAGCAAGAGCTGGCACAGCAGCAGCAGCAGCAGCAGCAGCGGAGGCGGCAGCGGAGCGGCTGGAGCTCCTCGTCCGATGTGCCAGCGTCGCCGCCGCCGCAGCAGCAGCAGCAAGATATGCAGCAGCAGCAGCAGCAACAGCAGCAGCACGAAGGGCTGCGCGAGTCCAGCATCCCCTTGCCAGCAGCAGCAGCAGCAGCTGCTGCTGCTGCTGC